AGCTGGCTCGACCACTAAGGCTCAGGGCGAAAGCTCGGGCCGAGCCTAATTTTTTTTTGGTCGGGTTCGGGCCGAAAAAAGCTCGGGCTTGACTCGAGCTTTTTTTTCTGGCTCGACTCGTTGACACCACTACGTAGGCCTCGATCCTTGAGCCTTTTTAAGATAGCTTGTTTCGTGCTACAAAGGATTGCTAGATTTGGTATGCTCCACATCCATGCAGGCCTCGATCCTTGAGGCCCAAGATGCCCAGGGCATGTACGAAAACACCATACACACGCACCAATCGGTAAGAGGGATGTCCCGTAAGTTGAAAATGTTGTTGGAATGGAACCTTGCATGAATGTTTGGGAAAATACTTACAATGTCATTTCGTGTATCATCCTTAATGTTTTTGGTTGATGGTACATTTCAATAATTGGATGTAAGCTACAAATCGATACGAATGTTTGGTGGTTTGATTATTTGCATGTTATACAGTTCGATTATTTTATTCTGATGAGGATTGGTTTGTGATTTCTTGTTATATTGGTGGTTTTTGTATGGTATGTTTCACCATCAAAGAACTATTGTTCTTGATAAATTAAATATTAAGCATCGAGAAACAGGTACCAAATGTCAACAACTATAATTCAAATGTCAAGAACTTTATTAAATGTAGAGAATATTTATTTTCAGAACGAAATCTCATTCCACAGATGAAGTCCCAAGTGTTGAGATAAATATGAATCAAATGTCGATAACAACTTTTCAAATGTCAAGAACGTCATAAAATATCAAAAACAAATGAAAACCGATTAACTGATGGAAATCTATCTACACACGCACAAAAATATGTTTACGTTCGGTAGACATTTGTCTCCGCAGTGCAAGTTCTAAATTCTTGAATTCTTCGTCTTTGTCTTCAATATTTAATCAATTTACAAGATTCAACACATAATAAATTACGGAGATCTTTGTCTTTATCTACACACGCACCAATTTACAAGATTCTCATTTATTCTTATTTTTGTCCATTATCATTTATTTTCATTGTAAGGGAAGTAATACTTCCTCATTTACTGTTTTCATTATTTATTCATATAACCATGATATTTATTTATTAAATAAATTTCGAAAGTGCCGCCCTCATTTATTTAAAAAAAAAACACATAATAAATTATTCATAGATATCGCTCGACTAGAACATGCAATCAAGATTAAGAAATAACAAGCACGTGAACGTTCTNAAGATTAAGAAAAAACAAGCACGTGAACGTTCTAAATTGATTTGAAAAAAAAAAAAAAAAAAAAAAAAAAAAAGAGTCCAAGGACAAACTGTTATCATTAATTAACAATCTTATTAGGTGTATACTAACTATAGTAGTGCATTAAGGTGACAAGCACAAGTTCTCAAAGTTATTTAATAAGGTTATGACACAATGTTAGGAACACACCACAATGAATATAATTTTTTTTAAATGCTCCAATAATCTTACGACAAATATTGACTAATTGTTTAGATTATACGATCTATTTAAATCAAATATATAACAACTATTAAATACAATTTATCGTAAAAATCAAGATTTTAAAATATCTTCTACTGAAAATTGTGAAAAGTTTCATCAATTTGCAAATTTGAATGAAATTAAATTCTTCAAAATGAAATTAAATGATTTTCCTATGAATTGTAAGCATATAATTCTTTGGTGTGTAAATGGATTTTCTACTTCATTATCTTCCTTTTCCCAAAATAATTGGTCAATACGTAGTAAACAATGTAAGCAAATGAACTCATTAGGTAATAATTAGCACTATTGTAGCTTCTCATAGAAGTCACTTGTTAGTCTCAAAATTCGCGACGCGCTCCAAAATTACTTTTTTTTCTATGGTAAAATAGACATTTTTAGTACCAAATTTGGCCATTTTTGCAAGACTTATCAAAATTAAACACTTTTCAATTGAAAAACATAGAATTAGACATTTTTTAAAATTCCCCTATAATAATTAACAATGGTCATCCAAATTTATGCTGACATCACCATATTATCAAGCTAACTTTGTCATATAGACACCCCACTAATAGAAATTTATGCTTGTGTGCATGCATAGCATGGAACCAACCATGTCCCAAGTTTCGTGAACTCATATATCTCAAAATCGAACATTTTACGTACGAATGAAGCTACATTGTTTCCTTAAATGAGAAAAGCACATCACAAGATTCACGACTACAACCGCTTCTCTACTTAAAAACACAGAGATCATCATAAACCAGAAGCAAAAACGATATTAATTGCATTTTCAATTACCAATTGGAACAGAAAAATAGCAATCAGGATTAGAGCCAGATAACTGTTTTTACCGTACAAGTGTTCCAGTAAGTATATTTTTAAGCACTGTCCCTATTTTATCGATCAACAAGCAGGATTGGTGCGTCCTGGGCACTGTGCAACAGAAGTATCCTTTTGCAAAATTACCGAGGTTTTCGTAGCACTTTCCGGCAATTTAGGTCGTGATAGTGGTCTTCTTAAGAACCTGAGTGGCCACTTTTTAGGCTTTATTTGCCCGAGCAATTTCATTTGTTCCTTTCTAAACTTTCGGTTAGCATACCATTTTCCTCCAAGCCAACCCAAGCCATACCTGAAAATTTAGCATCGTAGAAGAGGAAGAGGTATCAGGAGGATTCAACAATTGAAACCAATACTTTTAAACAGTGGTCTTGTCGTACTTGTTTTTGGATTTCAAGATGAGAATACAGTAAACATATTGGGTATACACTACTGAACTGCAAAAAGAATTTTCCAAGTGTATGTTTCTACAAAATATTGAATTGGATTAAGACTGTATAATGAACAATACTCTATTCTTTTCATTTTTTAGTACTATCTAGTGTATCCTGTCGTTCCTACCAAACATGCTATAAAAATCTAAATAAGGGTCTTTATTCTACATCAGCTACATCTCACAATTAGATATAAGAATTATATTGAAGCAACTCATCAAGCTAACTAAGAATTTCAATACTCAGTCTTCGAAATGCATCCTAATTGTTTCCCTTTCTTTTATTCACTCCCTCCTGATTCAAGCAAGGATCTCAATCTTGGGGATTAAAAAATTTATAACATTCCAAATTTATCAATACAAAAGATCATAGACAATTTCCCATTGGCCCCAAGTTGTGCAGTTTTGGAGTTCACCATAAGAAATAGTAACCAAGACTTGTAATTTCCTGAACCCTAGTTGAATTTTTGTAAGACTATTGTTTTTTCTCTATATTTCTGCGCATTCAAGAATAAACTTTAAGTTTTATTTGGGCCAAATCTATCCCCTAAAACATTCTACACTTAGTGAAAACTTGATCACTGAAACAATACCAAAAACAGAAAACTAGGTCTTGAAGGCTGAAATAAATATTGAAATGTAGCTAAAAATAATTTTAACAGACCCTATAATTAAAGTCGTTCCAGCAGTTGCAACACAAGCGGGAAAACTGACGGTATTGGAAACGAGCCTTTTAAATTCAGGGTCTTCAATTTGATAATTGCTTTTCATCTGTCACAAAACAAAACAAAAATCACATCTTAGAGGTACATAAGTGGCCAAAAGGAGAAAACTAATACGACATAGTTGCAAAAGAGTCTAGTAGCATTAGATCTCCCCCGAGATCTAATGTTGGAAATCAATTTTGAAATTTTCTGAGAGTTTATTGGGTATTTGTGCAGTTTACATCAGGATGATCTCTAAAATTTTCTGTTGTTTGAAGTCAAATAGGTAGTCCTGTAAAAGTTACAGCTATGCTCTCTAGAATTTTATGTTGCATCTATACATGTTTATATTGTGAGGGTGACTAAAGGAGAAACAGAAAAATGGATTCTGCAGCTTCTCAACTAGAGAAGTAAATTTCTCTCTCTGCATATAGTCACATACTTTTTGTTGCAACTGTCAACATCTATTGATGGTGGATAAAATAAGAATTAGCATGTGCTTACAGCTTTCTCAATTGTTTCAAGCTTTTGCTCAACTCTTGATTCATGAAGGTGACGTATAGTATAACCTGCATTACCATGACTTGTGAAATAGAGCACAGGTATTCACCAAATAATTAATAAGTAATACATTGCATGAAGTGCAGCAACCTTCCTTAGCCCTTCATCTACAAAGAAAAAGGACAATATTGGCTATTGGGTAGCTAGAAGACTGGTGTGGAGCATTATGCAAAAAGGATAAATGAAACAAAAATAAAAAAAGTAATATGCACATTAGTGAAAATGCAAGGATAATGAAGATGACAGTAAAATCTCCTTGGGCATTCCACTTAGTTGCATTCTCTTTTTCTTCTCAAACTGGTAACAGGAAGTCGGAAAATATAATGTGCACGTGGGAGAACAATCACTCAATTCCTGGGCAAAATCAATCTTTTTGGAAACCAAAGAAGCTTAAGAAATATCCTTAACAAGTTTAAAATCACTTTCTAAGTAAATACCCAGTTGTCCAAGGAAAGATACATATAATAACATTTAAGCTGATATTACGTAAGCCAAAAACTATGGCGACTATTTCTTGTTTACACTTGTTTATGCAGTTAAACGTACAGATATGATATGTGAAAGACATGATCTTGGATATAAGTAACATATCGATCTGAATTATCGAATTCACAAAATTTGATTTTATTTACAGTCCTGTTAAGAACAAAGAAGTATCAGGCCATGGTCAAAATAATATTAAAGCATATATCATAATCTCTTCATGAGCAATGAAATTTTAACTAAATTTTTGAAGCACTAAGAAAGGTCAAAATATGCAGGATCCACTCTTGATATCCTCCATACATCAACATTGCACTAGGGATTCGAAATCCACCACGTATCTAACAAAAGTATAGGACCACGAAGTGTGGTAGAGTTGCAACCATAGTTATCAGACTCGACTCAGTCATCGACTCGGATAAATCATCAGGTCACTAGTTCAATGGTTCAACTGCTGGGTCAGTGGTTCAACTGCTGGGTCATTGTAGTCCAAATTTTAGTTTAAAAATAATTTTAAAAAAAGAAGAGAAGATATATACATATATAGCAATGAATTTTAGTTAAAACATTATTTCAAAAACAAATAGATGTGTATATATTGTTTTATGTCACTTTGTTAGAAGGGAATATATATATATATATATATATAT